GCTTCCCTGGCCTTCACCTGTCTTCATTGACCTGTGCCACAGAAATGGCTGCCCTGCTCTGACCACACCCAGCATTCATTAATCTGCAGACTTTTCTTAAGCACCTAGTAAGTTGTGTTCTAGGGGACCGGCCTCTCGATCCTCTGCTGAGGGATACAGAGATGAGTGTGGCTAAGAGTTGTCTGTAGTTTAGTGAGAAAGCCATACGGTTTCTATGTGGGGGGCTTTGGGAAAGTATAAATGATATTCTTTTCTTCCTGAGTTCCAAACCAATGAAGAGGAGGGAGGCAGATGGAGATCAGATCCCAAACTCTGCTACTGGGGAGGCTGGCTGGAAAATGTGGTCCTTGTTTGGGCTGTGGACTCCCAGGAAAGAAGGCTTTTCAAGTAGTGCACGTTCATAGTCAATACTTGTGTCCTTGTTCTATCCTAGAGGCCCAGCCACATGCCTAGGCAAGAAGGCTACATCCTGGGGTGATCTCAGGGGTAGTGGGAAACCTTAGTAATCCTTTCCTTTTCCTGTCCAACTCCATCTCAAACTACCTGGTTGGTGTCTGAAACCCCACCACTAAAGCTTCATCCCTGAAGCCTAAGTGTAATGTCCTCTTAGAGAAGGAATGCCTATTGCCCGAAATAGAGCTGCCGCAAGGCTCGAATGAGTCCAGTTATGTCTTTGCACCTCAGCTTGCTCACCCTGCGGTCTCCAAGAGGGCTTAGGCTTGACTAAGAGTTACCCTCACCATTCGTGACTCGCTTTGGGCTCCAGGCTTCCTGGTGAATGGAAGTTGCTGTAGGAAACCCATGGCACTGGTATAAGGCCTGTGCTCCTGACAGAAAATGCTCAGCCTAGGGTTGATCTCTTGGCACGGCCTTGTCTTGACCCCTGCCACTCTTGTGTTGTCTGATGCCTGCCACTGCCCTGGGAGAGCTGTGGGCCAGGTGCAGGCCCGCCACCTGACAGGTGGACAGGCCCAGAGAAGGTGACCGACTTGCCCAAGGCCACACATGAGGACCAGGGCCAAGAACCAAGTCCTCCATGTTCTCATGACACTGTGGCTTACAAATTGGAAGCCCTAGTGTTCCCAGTGGTGCCTCGGAGGCAGAGTCGGGGACAAACAAGAGGTAGCCACACTGCCCACTCTTAGGAGTCTTTTGTATCCTGGGGTAAGATCTCTTTGGCAGAAACAGCCTCCACTGGCGAAAATGGTTTGAAAATCGCTGCAGGACATTGTGGCTTCAGTGCTTCCTTTTGAGCTGAAAACGGAGGGATTTGGGAGCAACCCTAGGCTGTGCATTTTCCTGCCACATCTGTCAGGGTCACAGGCCTTATCAGAGCCATAGGTTTCCTCCAGCAACTTCCACAGCACTGAAAAGCGCCGTGGAGCCTGGATTCTTTCCCTTACTGTCTTGATCCTGACTTGGTTCCGTCTGCGTCTCCCATTTCCCCATCGCTGACCTGTCTGCATCAGACCTGAGGCTTATGCAGGCTCAGTGACCAGTGAGATGCTTGGAATCACATTTGGTCTCACGGAGGACCCCTGGAGAGCAGAATGACATGCACACAGTCTTATTGACATTTACCGCTTTCCCTACGTTGATTCTTGTTCTGGACACATTCATCCCTGCTCTCCCATGTCGGCCTTTGTTCATAATGCTCTAAGTGGGAGGGGCTGGGCGGCCTCACCAGCCCACAGCATCTCCAGGACTGGGATCTTGGAAGTGAACCCACTCCCAGCTTGTCAGCGAGGCAGGAGCCAGGCGTGCAATGAGAGAGATGCTCTGTCCTGCTCCCCCGTGTTGCTGCCACGCTCGAGAACCCAAAACTGCAGTGGGCACATCTTCAAGTCTTTGGTGAGGGCGTTGAGGGAATTGTGTTCCTGAAAGGCATCAGATACCCCGACAGTGTCATTAGGAGGGTGTTTGTCTCCCAGAAGGGAGAGATTTTGCCTGGTCCAAACTAAAGGACAGAGAAATGTCTTCTTTGTCCCTGTAGAGTCCCTTGTGTGTACAGAAGTTCAGGAGGTACCTTCTGAATTGAGTCTCCTGAGATCGGGAGGCAGATGTGGCTGGGCGCTCACCTTCAGGGCTCAGTGCATGGTGCTGGCATTGCCCGAGTTTCTGTGTCTGCAGGAGTCACCCAATATGCCCCTCCACAAGCCCCTGGGCCCCGTCATCTCTGGTGAGGAGGGACTGGCAGGCGCAAGGACAGACAGAAGGTACTGTGTGCATCTGGGCCAGGCGAGGCCCGCGTTTTCCAGGGCCTTCCCTTGGGGAGAGAAGGCCTGGGGAGTCAGTCATTGGTGCAAATATCATCACCAGGGAAGTGAGGTGTTCGAGGGAGGGACCGGCCAGGCTGATTGAGGTCAAAGGGCAGTGGCATTGCCACTGACCACAGCCATGAGATATACACCAGCCATTTCCCCGCCCCTAGGCCTGAAGCTGGGAGCCGGAAAGTTGGATCTGCCCCAGCGCCTGCCCTGGGAGTGTACTATCCCAGGCATACCCGAGACCTCACAAAAATACTTACAGGGACCCGGCTATCAGGAGCTGCAGAGGCTGGGCTTTCCTTTCAGCTGAGGCGGGTGGTCAGAGAGCTCCCTGGGATGGCGGGATCCATCTGGGCCCTGAAGACGGCTTTACAGGCAAAAGCCACAGAATCGACAGGAGATGGGGACACCCACTGTGTGAGCAGAAGCAGCACTAGCAAGGCCAGAGCCTGGGGGTTTGGGGAGGCGGTAGGAAGCAGATAAGGGCGTTGCGCCCGGCTCCCAAGGCCTGCAAAGGAGTCGGATGTCACCCTGGGCCAGAGGAGATGCTGTTCTCTGTGGGGGCTGCAAGCACAGGTTCTCAGCCAGGTGACTGGGGTTCTAATCCCAGCTCTGCCTCCAGTTTGCCCTGAGAACTCGGGCAGGGTATTTATACTTTCTGCACCTCAGTTTCCTCATCTGGACAATGGGGATAGAATAATAGTACCTACTGGACCACCATGCAGATAAAATGAGAACTGAGAAGGCCTCCAGGTACAAAGCACATGTTTAATGAATGTTGGCTACTATTATTGTTAGTTACCTTCATTTACCATTCATCCATTCAGCGATTCAGTGAGCTCTGACTATGTGCCAGGCACTGTTCTAGTCCCTGGGGACACAGCAGTGGGCAGCACAGACACCATCCCTGCCCTCATGTCGCTTATAGCCCACGTTCCAGTGGGTGCACACAGATGGAAAATCAGAGTACAGGGCCTCGGCCTGGCTGCCTAATGGGCAGGGGTAGAAGCCACAAGCCCCAGGGCAGAAGGGCTTTGGAGCAGGTGGCTGCCGCCCCAGAGGTTGGCCTCAGGGTTAACCTGGCAGCAGCTGTGGATGACAGGCTCATGGCCAGGGCAGGAGGCAGGGAGGGGAGTCTCTGCATCATTGAGTCTGTTTCCAAAGTGGGCTCCAGGAGATGATATGGTAAGGTGCACAAAGAAAATAGTAAAACTTTCTTTCTACTTTATTTTGTTGTCGTTTTGTTTTGTTTTTTGAGACGGAGTCTTGCTCTGTCACCCAGGCTGGAGTGCAGTGGTGTGATCTTGGCTCACTGCAACCTCCGCCTCCCAGGTTCAAGTGATTCTCCTGCCTCAGCCTCCCTAGTAGTTGGGATTACAGGTGCGCAACACCACGCCTGGCTAATTTTTTGTATTTTTGGTAGAGATGTGGTTTCACCATGTTGGCCAGGCTGGTTTTGAACTCCTGACCTCAAGCTATCTGCCCACCTTGACCTCCCAAAGTGCTAGGATTACAGGCGCGAGCCACCACACCCTGCCTAAACTTTCTTTTTAATTTTTGTTCTTTTAACATTTCTATTTTGTGTGCTGTTGTGGATTATATGACATGTAATATATTAATTCATACAAACATACACATAACTGGGAGATAGAGGTGCAAACCTCTTTTACTTCAGAGTATGCCAGTGGTCAAGGCAAGAGTGCTGAGGAAGGGTCTGGCCTGCAGGTGGGAGAAGGGGTCCGTGAGCAGGTGGCCCCTGCGTGAGGCTCTGGGCTGCAAACTTGACCATGTGGCCCTGCTGGCCCTGGAGAGGGGTGGGGGCGATTCAGATGTCCCTGAAGCCTCCGGCCCAGCTGACTAGAAAGATGGTGGTGCCTCCATTGGCAAGACCTCAGGAGAAGAGGCCCTGGGGCCAGGTGACGCATTCCCCCTGGATATTCGACAGGTGTGCACCTGGGAGGCAGGGAGGCCACCCTTGGAAACACTCAAAAGGGCTCTTCAGGGAGGCCAGGGCTGCAGAGGGGTTTGGCTCCACGTAGAGGTGAGAGAGTTGAGGCCTGGGGTCAGTGGGAGGGTCATTTTCCTGCTTGCTTTAAAAGCGATAGCTTGGCTTGTCAAAGGGCTTTGTCATTGTGACACAGATAAGAGTTTTACAGGGTGCACCAACTTTCCCTGGTCAGAGATGAGCTCAGGAGCCAGGTCTGGCGGGGCAGCCATCTTGCATCACGCTGTGAACATGATAGCCGCAGCCCACAGCCCCATCATACTTCTTGGCATCAGGAGAGTGGGTCAGAGGGCAGAGCTGTTGCCCTCTGAGGGTCTGTGTGCCTCTGGCCTGCTTGTCCCCATGTGCATTCTGGCCCTTTTTCTATGGGGATCAAAGCCAAGGGTAGGACCAGACCAGGCTCTGTCCAGACACTGAGGAGCCCCGTGTGGGCCCTGAGGGTGGGTGTCCTCAGAGGTTGGGGCAGGGACCAGGCAGGCCTCACTGCCCCCTGCCTGGTGGTGACCTATGCCTGCCCTGCAAGGCCTGCAACACAAGTGACTCCAGTCCCTGTGTAGGAGTGGGCAGGAGGGGCTGTCGGCGGCAGCCGTTTCCACTCGGAGCAGGGATCCGCCAGCTCCGGGCCCCTCCAGACTCCTGTGCGGGAAACATGAACATCAGAGTGGTGGCCGCTCGCAGGGCCTCAGAGGGGCACCAGGAAAGCGTGTGCCGTTGCTCTCTCCTCACAGCTGAAGTCTACATCGGCATCGGGAAGCCTGCAGAAGCCACAGCCTGTACCCAAGAAGCTGCCAACCTCTTCCCAATGTCCCACAACGTCCTCTACATGCGCGGCCAGATTGCCGAGCTCCGCGGCAGCATGGACGAGGCGCGGCGGTGGTATGAAGAGGCCTTAGCCATCAGCCCCACCCACGTGAAGAGCATGCAGCGACTGGTGAGTCCGCGGGCCCGGCTGCGGCCCCCACTCTGGCAGGGGGACAGCCCTTGGAAGCAGCAGGTAGTACATGACCCTCACACCCTCTTCTGCTTCCAAAGGCCCCATGCAGTTAGCTTGCCAGGCTGTCACATGGCCTGAAGCCAGGGAGCACTGTTTCTACCATAGTTTGTGCAAATGGCGCCCCCAGAGTTGGCTGTGCATAGCCTCAGCAGCCATATGGGATGTCCTGTTAGGTGCTGTGGTCTCCTGGCCAGCGGTCTAAGCCACCCTGTGGCTCTGGATTTGATAAAGATATTCTTGTGGCCGTGGGGCTTTGCGGCTGCTATCTCAGCCTCTGCGCTGCTTGCAGTAGCCACCTTTGGGGATTTCCACATCCCGGGGAGACTTCAGGACAAGGATCAGAACACTTTACAAACTGAGAGGCTCTCTTCCCTTAAGGGAGCCTGAGACTCCAGCATGTCTCTGAGGCCGTTGGCTGGGAGGGAGCATCCTACCAGCGGGAGTGTTTGGCCGTGTTGCCCTGAGAGGTGGGAGGCAGATGAGCCACCCCAGTGTCCACGCTGTGCGGGGGTGTGGCGGCACACCACGAGTGCACATCCTTCATCTATAGCCTGGGCCAGAAGCCTGGGGTTGCCCTGCTGCCCCCACCCCTTGCCATGGATCATTCTTGAGAGACCCTGGAGCCAGCCACCTGGCCGTGTCGGTTTCAGTTAGGAGGGGAGACTGCTCGCTCAGGCGGTTCTGTCTGTTATGAACGTATGTTAGTGCAGCTGCCTCACCAGTCCTCTGTCATCTTCCTGCGAGGGTCTGAATTGAAACTCACAAGTTACCAAGGTCTGAGGAGCTTGTGAAAAGCTGTGCCGCGTTCTCTGGGCCTGCATGCTGGGCTTTAGTTCTGAACTGTTGTTTCATTTCTAGCAGTAGACATCGCTGATGTCATGAACTGCAGGAAAGAAGAGCCTTTTATTATAAAGCTCAGGGCCCTTTGTGTCTGTACCCGTGGAGGCTTAGCACCCATAACCAGGTGGTGGTGTGTGATATAGAAGAGTGTGATATGGAAAGAGACAGGGAGTCTGAGGACATAGTTCTGGTCCCGGCAACATCAGCTGCTTGCTCTTTAACCTCAGGAAAGGCCCCTGAGCTCTCAGCACCTCAGTGTCCTTTCTGCAAAATGAAGGCATTTGACTAGACAGGCTGTGTCTGTCCAAGACTAATAGGATGTGGTTTTGTAACTAATAAGTAAAATGTTCCCCAAAGCATCCCAAAGCCTTCATTATCTTGCCATTTCTCATAGTAATGTTGCAAAATGTAGAAGGGGCTGGGCACTAACTGCTGGTTTCCAGCAGAAGAATGCTGATGCACTGGGAATTAGGCCCCGTGGAAAGAGTGTCTAGTTATGAGTTACATGTGCACTCGAACTAAGCCCTGGTCCTGACTCCTGGGGAAGCTCGGACTTGTCATGTAACCTTTAGGCGCCTTGGTGTGTTTCGGTGGATTGGCCTCCTACCCCAGTGGGATATTGAGAAAGAATGAACTGATTTACATAATAATCCTAGCAGAGTTCCTGGCACCTAGTAGGTGCTCATGAAATAGGAAACTGAAGACAGTCATTTTCAGTTTTAAAAAGAAATCAAACCCTACCATAATTACAGCTACTTAATTTTTTCCAACTTCTCTTTGTGAGTTTTCTGTAGCCCCATACAGATTTATACATAATTTTACATATTATCCAAATGTTAGTCTGTTTGATTAAAAATATTACGTGGCTTTTCTTTTCTGTCTCACTATTAGAAGGGGAATTTGTAAAGAGCTTGTCAGGTCTCTGTGCTTTTGCTGAGAGCATCCAGAAGAGGTACAATCCCCGCCACATCCCAGCCTTTTTATTAAAAAGAGGCTACATGTTTCCACCTCAGGGCCTATGAATCATTCAGGAAAGTATTTCTCGTTCATCCCCAAGGGGAACACATGAGACAAAAGATCAAATAGGAAAATCGCACCAGGAGAGTTTTCTGTTTCACCTTTGGAGCTTTTCAAGACACCTGAGATGCCTGACACATGCCAGGCGCTTTCCTTTCTGAAAGGAGCGAGCAGTTGACCTGGCACAAGGGAGCTGGTGAGCGAGAGCAGGGCCGTGGTGAGCCCCGCCTGCGGGGTCCATCAGCAATGGCTGCGCCTTACGAGGCTCAGAGACATGAGCTGCTTTGGAGGTCTTGTCAGTAGAGAGGGGTCATCATAATAAACTCTTAAAAGCTCTCTCAGTGGATCCTGAGACAGTGAAAAGCCATCGGATTGGAGGCAGGTTGAGAAGAGCGGGACTACAGATTTGTCTTGCAGTCAGAAACTTTGCCCAGTGACTGTTCAGTGTGGCTCCTGAAGGTAGTTCGAACACGCCTTCTTGGTGATTTTCTAAATGATGCACCTGGCCTGTGTTCTCCCCAGCCTGCCCCCAAGAGCCCAGCCCACAGCCAGGGGGAGCCCCATGCAGCCAAGGGCGGGTCCCCCTCCCACTGGTGCTGCGGGACCCTCTCGTGCCTGTGGAGGGGCAGCCCCTGGACCCCATAGGCTCTTCAGCCCTGAGACGTCACACTCCCTCTCTGTCCTCTTCCCTACAAGCTGCACAGGAAAGCTGTGTTTCTGTGGCCTTGGATAGAGGAAGGGAGGATGGGGCCTTCGTGTATACTCTAGAGGCCCAGGAGGAGGCCCCAGAGCCAGGCTGGCCTGGGTTAGAATCGCAGCTCTGGCTCTTATTCGCTGTGGGGCCTTGGACAGGTTATTCACCTGTCCAAGGTGAATAACATTTTCCTCAGCTATATAAATGGGGATAATATTCGCACCAATACATCATAGAGACAGATTAAAACCCAAGAACTGACATCTCTTGCTAAGTCACAAAAGGCTCTGTCTCTACCCTCACGGAAGGTAGATTGGTTTGCAAGTCCCTGAGTTAAGAGGAAGGTGCCAGCAGGGAGAGGAGAGGCTGTCTTACCAGGTCAAGCCCCAGGGAGGAGGCAGGGCCTCTGACCTGTGTGGCAGAGGGCAGCGGAAACAGAGCTGAGCGTTGACAGTTGCCTGGCACGCAGGGAGAGCGGCAAGGGGGGCGGCCAGGGAGGCCAGGGTCAGAAGGTCAAGACTAGAAGGAGTTTAAAGAACAGAGCCCTAGGGAGCATCAAAGAGCCAAACACGGAGGCTCCAAGGGAAGGAGCCAAGCGTGAGGCAGGTCGTGGGTCATGGGAGAGGATGGAAAGTGTGCTTGCAGCAGCCCTGATGCTCAGAGAGGAAGGCAAGGAGCTGGCGGACAAGCTGTCAGTGAGGGCTGTTAAGAAGGAAGCCTCGTCTGTGTCACAGGTGGTGGTCAGGTGGCTGATGTGACGGCAGAGAACAGTTATGCCAGGAGTTGTAAGTGGCAGCAGATGCCAGATCACCAGCTGGCAGGAGGGCTACGGCTTAAGCAGAAATGCAAGCCTGTTAGTATTGTTAAAAAGCAAGAGTGACTTTAGTATTCATGAACGGTAAATCGGAGGACAGACTTGACAAGAGAAATGTAAATTCAACCCCAGAGGAATCGTACGATCTTCTAATAGCTTAGCCTTCATGTATGTGTTTAAATTCATGTGTAGTGAGAAGGGAGCAGAGAAATCATGTGTTTATCAGCAATAATGAGTTAGCACAAGACAAGGGAGGCAGAGATTGCTGAGGATGGGCAGGTATTAAGGAAGCAGCATGCTACAGGGATAAGGAGTTACCAAGTAATGTTGTTGACAAGGGGAGGAATTCATAGACTGACCAGACTTTTTCCAGAAAATCTAAAGGCATATTTTTATATTATTTTTGCATAGTGTATAAATTTACATTTATTCGTGTGCTATGTTAAAAAGCCTTTAGCTCCCAGTATGCAAAATGAATGAACGAAACATACAGCAACTTTTTCCAAAGCAGTTATTCCATGTTCTGGGGTGGGGAGAGGAGAGAAGCGTGGCTCATGGTGGACTGAGGAGCAGAGAACCAGCATCCCTGGACGGTCATTCCCAGGCCAAGGACAGAATCACCAGGACAGGGACAGGCTGTGCAAACAGGGACATCTGGTTTCCCTCTGATAATGTCAGCCTAAGCTTTCGAGGGCAAGTGTGAGATTGGAAAGTAAGAAGGGAACAAGGGCTTTCAGGAGAGAGAAGAACATGGAAGGGAGCCAAGGAGGTTGTGTGGAGGGGAGCTGATAAGGCTGGGATGGGAAGTGTTGCTGGGGAACAAATGCGTGCTGGAGAATATTAGCAGGAGGCTCGGGTCCGCCTCCAGTCCCTTTGACAGGTTGAGAAAAGGTGTGAAGCAGAAGCAGATGGCGGGGGTCAGCCAGGGCTTGGTGGAGTGGACAGCAAGTGGAGTGAAGTGGGGTGAGGCAGCTTTGGAGAGGCCTATGAGCCAGAGAGGAACCGTGAGCCAGAGAGGGACCGTGAGCAGGAGAGGGACCGTGAGCAGGAGAGGGACCGTGAGTCAGAGAGGGACTGTGAGCCAGAGAGGGACCGTGAGCCGGAGAGGGACCGTGAGCCAGAGAGGGAGTGTGCACTGAGAACCATGGAAAGGGCATCAGGGGACAGCAGTGAGATGGAGCCCCCACCCCGCAGGGGGAAGGAGGAGAACTGCTGCATCCACCTGCAGACTGAGCGTTCCCCAGGCCTAGGACAGAGGCCATGATATTTCACAGCCGATGCTGAGAAGTGATAAAATCTAGATTAAAAGCAGGAAGGGGCCATCCCTTTAAATGAAGTTTCCAAGACAAGGCTGAGGGCCTGGAAAGGTACAGAAAGCCATCAGCCCTTTGTGAGAAGATAGCAGAGGCGCTGTGTTTCACGCACCCCCCCCCCACCCCCCGCCCCCTCCCCAAGGAAGTAGTGATAAAAGACCACTGTGAAGCTCACCAAGCAGAAGGTGAAAGTGATGGGGAGGAGAGATGGGCGGTGGCTAGGGGCTGGGCCGAGGCAGTTGGCCCAAAGAGTGTGCTG